CCACTCAGCATAAATCTTTTGAAGTTTTTCTATGTTGTTGTGTGCATCAACAGTTCATTTTTTTTCCTGAGTAGTATTCTACTGTATGGATAGACAACATGTTACTCATTGATCTGTTAATGAACATGACTCCCTCCAGCTTTTCCAGTTTTGGGCTATTACAAATAAACCTGTTATGAGCATTCATGTACAAGTCTTTGTGTGTCTTTAAATTTAAAGTGGGTGGGGTGCCTGGCTGGCTCAGTTGGTAGAGCATGTGACTCTTAATCTTTGGGTTGTAAGTTTAAGCCCCACACTGGGTGTAGAGATTACTTGAAAATAAAATCTTTAAAAAAATTTTAAGTGGGTATTTGTAGACAGCATATAGTTGGGTCTTACTTTAATCTGACAATTCTGGCTTTCATTTGGAGTTTTTGGATCATTATATTTACGTGATAATTATATCATTAGATTTAAATCTACCATCTTGCTATTTGTTTTCTGTTTATCCCATATGCTTTTTGTTCCTTTTCTCTTTTTTTTTTAAAGATTTATTTATTTATTTATTTGACAGAGAGAGAGACAGCGAGAGAAGGAACACAAGCAGGGAGAGTGGGAGAGGGAGAAGCAGGCCTCCTGCTGAGCAGGGAACCCGATACAGGGCTCGATCCCAAGACCAGTGGGATCATGACCTGAGCGGAAGGCAGATGCTTAACGACTGAGCCACCCATACGTCCTGTTTTTGTTCCTTTTTTCTTATTCTGTCTCCTTTTTTGATTGACTATTTTATTCCATTTTATGTCTTTTGTTGACTTATTAACTATAACGCTGTGTTATTTTAGTGTTTGTTTGGGGTTTATTGCATACATCTTTTACTTATCATTGTCTAACTTCAAGCAATATACTACCTTGTGTGTAATATAAGAACCTTAGGGCAATACATTCCAATGTCTTCTCTCCTGGCTTTTGTGCTTTTTTCTTCTTCTTTTTTTGTTTTTTTTGGTTTTTTCCCTACATTTTACCTCCAAATATGCCACAAACCCCATAATATATTGTTATATTTTTCCTTTAAATAGTGAATTATTTATCTTTATTTTATTATTTTTTAGAGAGGGAGGGGGGGTAGGGGCAGAGGGAGAGAGAAAATCCCAAGCAGACTCCACGTCCAGCACTGAGACCGATGAGACCGCTCAATCTCACGACCCTGAGATCATGACCTGAGCTGAAATCAAGAGTCAGACGCTTAACTAACTGAGCCACCCAGGTGTCCCAACAGATGATTCTTTCTTCCTTCCTTCCTTTTTCTTTCCTTCCTTCCTTTCTTTTTTCTTTCTTT